CAGTGTAGTCAACGCTGTTAACAAGGTAAATGATGCAGGAATGTTCCCGTACAGTTGATTGTTTCCGAGATTCCTACGTCATGTAAAAAAGAGAGATGGGGATACGCCAAACAAGGCATAACAGATAGATTTGTGGAGTGGGTAATACATGGACCACGGATCCAGGTCATAACGGAGAATTCAAGAGAAGTGAAAAGGGGAAACATGAGAAGGCCAGAAACCATGACAAGAATAAAAAACTGACTGAAAGGTTCTTGGCTAGACGAGGCAACAAGGAAAAAAAGGGAGACGAGCTAAGACAGAAGAGGAAGGGGGGGGACGGGGTGGAGAGGGGGGGGGAAGGTAGGGGGTCGGGAGAGGGGGGAGGGGGGGGAGGGGGAGGGGGGGGGCTTGTGTGGGGAGAGAAATTAATGAGTGTAGGAACAGCAGGCAGGATAACAAATGCCAAAAACAACTACTGATTCACAAAAAAAAAAAAAACATCCACTCCACCTTTTCTCCCAATGACTGCATCTTACATGAGTCCAATCTAAAACTCAAACCGTCAGATGTAGGTGCCACATGAGCCATACATCCCTTAGCCATGAGTCTCTCACACATATGATTACAGCCGCACTCAAAATAAAGTTTCAAAGACCCTAGTTTGTGGCTTAGAATAGCTACTTCGATTTCCACGTTTCCTGCAATTCAGGTCAGTCAATTCCAGCAACGAAAGCAGAGCACATCATGAATGGGTCTTACAGGTCAGCCAGGTTTCTGAAATTGCCAATTCCAGATGGAATCCAGCCAGTCAGATGACTTCTGTCAGCACGCCTGTGTGATGATGCGAGTGAATCATAAATGTGCACACATCTTCAACAAATAAACAGCTTAATCTTTGAGGGATGACTTACTCCAAGGAAAGGATTACACACAGAGAAGCACATGTGGAGGAAGACAAGGAGAAACTATTGAAGTTCGAGATTGGTAAGAAAACTAGACAGGTGGAAGACTATGGAAACTATGGAACTATGAGAGTGGAGATAAGTCAAGGATCTCACGCCATCAGTATGACAAGACAAGGAATGGAAGGCATAAAAATAGGATGAAATGTCGAGTGGATTGGATGGACGGTGAGGGGATGCCTTACAGGTACGTCAATTTTGTAAGCTTGGTGATTTCAGCAGGGATGGAGCCAGCGAGGGTATTTGGACCAAAACTTCTGTTATAATCAACACATGCCGGAATGCTATATCTAGAGCCCAACTGAAACACAATCAATAGAAACAATTCGTAAAACTGTTAAACAAGCATATCAGAAACATTGACAGGGTTCCTCCAATGTGGAGACAATCGCTCAGGACAGTCTCATAGGAAGTGAGACTCAATAGCTGCCTCACGTGCGAGATTAACTAGAGTAAGTAAATTAGAATCAAGAAAAGCAGGACTGCCGAGGAGAGCCAAAGAGGAAACGAGTAGGATACGGAGCAACAGAGATGAATTTCGGTAGTCACAGCAGCCGCAACCACTGCGCCAAACAGCGTATGCGGTGGTCTCTCTCCCTTTGTCACTCTCTCTCTCTCTCTCTCTCTCACGGTCCTTCCATTGATACTTCATAAAATTACAGACGTGCAGATTAGAACATGGATAATTCCCCTATCAAACACCATAGCCTTTGAGACACCCTAAGGGAGCTCCTGAGTGGGCTCCAATATGGTGAGGCAGTCTCTAGGGGATGGCTTCTCTGGCGAGGCAGCCCAGATTATCTCATTCACAAATTCACATTCCTTGCACTCACCTCATAATGCCGACTTTTCTGCCACTCTCTTCTCCCCCCTCCCCCCTTCCCTCCTCCTCCCTGTCGTCTTGCCAGAGAAAACCCCTAACGCTATATGGACATACATGTCCTTCAACTTTCTCTTCCCTTGCAGCACTCAGTGAGCGCATCCCTCTCTCCCTCTCTCCCCCTCTCCCCCTCTCTCCCTCTCCTTCTACACAAGCATACGCGGTAACGACTTCACATCAAGCAACCGGGATACACAAAGGAGAGCAGGGGCAAAGATTGGCGAGCACAACAAAGCCAAGGACTTACATGGTTTTTAAGGAAGCCATTGTGCCGATCTCGGTGGGAATTGGCCCAGTAAGCAGATTGTCTTCGAACCCTCTGTTAGTGAAACGAAGCAAACATGCGTATGGACAGAGCTTGAGGTTCGCATTGAGCGGAAAGGGCAACAAAAAAAATGAAGAGGAGAAGAATAAAAGACTTACTGGCGGAATGAACTGTATGAGTAAGAGGAGCAGAGATGACAACGGAGGCCGGGTGCACTCATGGCTCTCGTCTCAGACATCTGGTGATCACTGCTAATCCGAATATAAACAAGCTCCAAATGCCCCAAATCGAAATAGAACTCGTACTGAGGTCCACGTACGTGCTATCCAAGTTCGTGAGCATGCCGATTGCAGTGGGAATCCAGCCTGTGAATCTGTTGGAACCAAGACGGCTGCCATGACGATGGGATGAGGCATGTGATGTGAGGGATACACTGCGAGACTCGCATGCAAACGAGCGAACACTTCGTACATGGAACAAACTTATGTCACAGTCAAGGATATTTGCTCTGTAAGACAAGAAAAAGTGGAAAGAAGACAGTGGGCAAGGAGTGCGTTTCTTGACTCTGATGATGAGCAAAGCAAAACAGATGACTTACAGTATGTCAGTTTTGTAAGACGAAATATTTCCGCAGGTATTGTACCACTGAGCAAGTTGTTATAGAAGTCTCTGTACATCATCAGTACATAAAACCAACGTTTATTTTAAGAGAGTTCTATATCAGTCACACTACCAAACCACAATGGACGATATCGAAGATTGATTTTAAAATGCACACATACGAATCTAGCAAAGAATAGGCAAGGGTGGGGCAAGCACGGTAGCCATCAGTTGCCCCAAGCCAGGGCGTGCATTGTCCACAGAGATTACGAGAGGATACAACACGAGGGCAATATGAAAACAACACATATGAGACTAACAATTACCTCGAGAGAAGTATGCAAGATATGATACGGAAGGGGGTAGACGTGGGGGGGGTTGGAAAAAAGCCACAGAAAGGGGCGGTAACAGTGGGTGGCTGGGTAAGAGTTTTATAACATGAGGGGATGGAAAGAACAAAGGAGGGGTTTGAGGGGAATGGGAGGGAGTGAACGACCAATAACAGCAGCAGAGGGGCGGAGGAGGCGAGTTCGTGGGCGATAGGAGCGAACGTGACACAAGAGATAGCTATGCAAAAATATTGAACTGATGATGGAAGGCGTTGGGGTGGGGGCTGGGTGAGTGCACTAGGCAGGAAGATATGTTACAACGGAAGGACCCGTATGTTGGCAGGTTGACTGGGCAGGCAGGCAGGCGGTTCACAAAACCAGCCAGAGGACGTACAGGTTAACGATCTGTACGAGGTTGCTAACGGAGCTCGGAATGGGCCCTGCCAGATATATGTTCTGGATGGTCCTGCATACGAAACATGGTATCACCAGCTGGGAAGAGAATCATTGAGGCATTATAGGTGGCACAAGCACATGAAGAATCCCACGGTGATCACTGCCGCATGTCGTCCCAAAGTTCCGAAGGCGTCATACTATGCGCATACTTCATGGCCGCGAATTGGCGAGGACATCCTGACTCGAGATCTTACAAAGACACGATCATCCCGATCTCGTCGCATGTGATGCCTTCAGCATAGTAATAGATGTCCCAACCCACTGGATAGCAGTCGAACCCACTCCAGCCATTCAAAGTCCGCCCCCATGCGTTCTGGCAGTCGCGCAGGAATTGCGCTGGTTAGTGGAGGTGGGAAAGAAATGGGAGAGGAGAGGGAGGGAAAGGGGGAGGGGGGAGAGGGGAGGGGCGGGAGGGAGGGGTGGGTAGGCCAATAGTGGCGAAGGGTGAGGAACGCCACGCTGAGGACGATATTCAAGATACGTTGACTGAAAGTTATGATATTGTGCCCGCCATCACAAAAATCATGCATCCGGAAAACCGATGAAAAAAGTTGCTTTGGAGTTTTGTCGAATGATTCATGAACGACGTTTTTCGAACGCTTTTATGAGAAAGTATAGGTTGCTTTCCAAATGCTTTCTCAAACGCTTTTCAAATGCTTCTCCAATGCTTTTCTGTTCAAACCTGCCAGGTGAACACCTTCGGAAGAAGTTTGGTACAAGTTTCCGCAGAGCAATTTCGAAGATCGGATCTCATTGCAATGTACTCTTTATGGGATTTCGGGTTCATTAAAATAAGCTTATGTAGGAGACTTGCACGACCTTATATGTAATTTAAAACTATGTTAAGTTGCCTCAATGTTGCATTCAAAATGAACAGTACAGAAGCTTTGGTAAAAGCTGATAATTCCACCCTAAAAACGCACATAAAACAGCATCCTAAACCCTCTGTGCCTAGTCAGTTATGTTGAGCTGCATCATCCTACGACCTGCTTAGCATGCTCCAGTACACTATGTCTTCCACCGAACCCCATCTCTGGTGCTCTAGGTTGAGCTTGCCCCTGCGTCCACTGCTTCATTGCATGCTCTGCCCTCTCATGCGTCTGCTGCTCCGCCCCTGGCGCTCCCCAGTCATGCCTTTACTGCTGCTTGCTCCAGTCATGCCTAACCTGCTGCCCCCCCTGTGCACTCCCCTCTATCTGCTCGTGCCTTTTCTGCTGCCCCCCCAACTCTCTCATCTCATGCCTTTTCTGCTGCACCCTCTTGCACTATCTGGTTGCCTTGCAGGTTGCCCACCCTTGGACACTCCTCACATTGTCTCTACTGCTGCCCCCCTTGCTGACTCCACGCTTTTGCCGCCCGTGCTACCCCCCATGCTGACTCTACTTTCTTGCCTGGCGTGCTGCCCCCCTTGCTGTCTCCACCAATGCCTCTACCTCCGTTTTGATGTCTCCTCGCAAGTGTGTGATGCCTATCCTGCTGCCCCCCCTTGTAAACTCCACTCATGCCTCATCTGCTGCCCCCCTTGTTTAGTCGCCCCATCGCTTGACCCTCTTGCCTCCCCGGCGTTTGCCACTCTTGTGTCTTTTGCCCCTCCTTCGCTCCTGGCCCCCCCCCTTCTCATCCTCATCCTCATCCTCTTCCTCCTCTTCCACTTCTTCCTCCTCTTCCTCTTCCCTCTTGCTTCCCTTGCCTCCGCCTCTTTTGTGCTTTCTGCCCTTCCTCCTCTCCTGCCCCCTATGATTTTCATCCGCCTGCTCCCCCTCCTCCTCCTCCTCCTCCTCCTCATCCTCTTCCTCTTCCCCCCTGCTTCCTCTGATTTTCCCTCTCTTCTGCCTTCTGCCCTTCCTAAGCTCCCGCCCCCCCCATTCCACATGCTCCTCCTCCTCTTCCTCATCCTCATCCTCTTGCTCATCCCTCTTGCCTCCCCTGCTTTTGCATCTCTTGTGCCTTTTGCTCTTCCTCCGCTCTTGCCCCCACTGTTCCTCCTCCTCCTCCTCCTCCTCCTCCTCCTCCTCCTCCTCCTCCTCCTCCTCCTCCTCCTCCTGATCCTCGTCATCCTCCTCGTCATCCGTCTTCAAGTCCTCCGCGTCGTACACCTCCTGCTCTTCCTCCTTCAAGTCCTTCTTCTCCTCGTCAGGCACGGCCTTCCCCTTGAACGCCTCAAATCCTGACTCGTGAACATACAGGCCACGGTCGCCCCACTTGAAGCCCTGCACGACTGTGTTGTACACGGGGGTGTGGCGTGTGAAGTGGTCCTTGATAATCCACCGCACATTTCGGTGCAAACCCGTCATCCACTCGGTGTTCTTGCGGTGGGAGTTCGAGACGTTCTAGTCGGTCTTCTTAACCTTTGCCAAGCCCTGGTCAATCTGAAAAAGCGTAGCAAAGTATGGGAAAGAGGGGAAATAGAGACATATGTGGACACTCGCGTGTAGAGTTCACGGGCTGCGCAAATAGCCCCACATTCCAGTCTGGCGGGCAAGAATTGCAAGCAAAGCTAGAGCGAACTGACGGGAGAGCAATAATGCCTTACCACCATGATTGACCAGGCAATGTGGTAGGCTTTGACGCACACCCGGCGCCTGACACAGAGATTCCGAAATGCTTCCCGGTCCGCATCTACAAACCGGCCGTTGGCAAACGGGAGCCCGTCTCTGCTGTTTCCCCACGAGCTGACCCGCTGATTCCCTCCTGCGCGCACGCAGGACAAGGCGGGGACGAAGATCATGCACGACATGGTTAGGGGTTGTCCAAAGGGTATGGACGAAGTGGAGGGCGGTATAGAATGAATGGAGGGTTGGCTGGAGGGCAGTAGAGCAGGGAAGGGCGGGAGAGAAGGGGAGGGCAGGAGAGAAGGGGAGGGCAGGGGAGAGGGGGAGGGCAGGAGAGACATGGAGGGCGGGATAGAAGGGGAGGGCTGAAGAGAAATGGAGGGAGGGAGAGAACGGGATGGCGGGAGGGAAGGGGAGAGGTGTAGATTAAAGGGGGGGCGGGAGAAGGGGAGAGTGGGAGAAGAACCAACGTTAAGCTGTCATGCGGATGTGACTACACATGCGCTACAAGGCTGGGCAAGGAGAGCAGGTATGTAGTTGCGTACCACAGTGGGGATGCTTTAGGGAAAGTTGTTCATCATCGTCACAAGGGGTGCACGAGCAGATGAAATCAATGGTGAAGTAAAACAGAAACGCGCGTTCTCACTCGGTTGGTATTTTCTCCACATCTTCTTCTTCTTCTTGGTGCCCATCCAGAGATCGGCTGCACGCAGGCCTTGCACATTCTTGCCGAAAGTTACAAGCACTCTGCGCTTGAGGTGGAAGCCACGATCGTTCTTCCATGACGTCCAAGCGCGTTTGAAGCCGTCGACGATGTTTTTGTCTTCCATAGCGTCTCGCAGCTGCATCAGCTTAATTATGTGCGTCTCGCTGATAACGTGATACAAAACCTGAAGGCGCTGTTTGAGCGTTGGGTAGAAGTCTATGGCATCGTCTGGCCATTATAGGCACATCCGGTCCCGCCCCACGGCGAAATGAACCTATGACGGACGGGTGGATTGGAAACGTAAAATTGAGTGATGCCTCCGAATGAAGGGCGGAATTCAGAGGTTGAGAGAGAGGGCTGTTGCCATCACTGCGCCGCATGGCTCCCATACCAACAACAGCACCATGAACATGGGCTCTGGAAGAGGTGGGGGAAGGATGGGAGAGAGGGTGCAGGGAGAGGAAGGATAGCTGCTATGGTGAGCTATCACTCCGCCGCATGACACCCACCCCACCACCAGCACCATGAACAGGAGCTCTGGTTGAGGTAGGGGAGCGATGCACGAGTGAGAGGGGAGAGAGGGGGGATAAAATAGTCAGAGCGAAAGACGGGAGAGTAGGCAGAGTGAGAGGGCACCGTACGCCCAGTGCGAGGGTTCATGTTCTCCTCGTACGAGGAGTCTCAACTTCCACTGCAGCCACCCCCCTGCACGCTACGCCGCATGCCACACGCGTGACCAGCAGCACCTTTTACAGTGGCTATGGACGAGGAGGGAGAGGGACGGGATAGAGAGGGGAGGGAGGAGCGGCGGACAGAAAGGGGGCCGCGTGGGATTGACGGATACGGCTTCCTCTATTCCCTCCGCCGCATGACACCCACACCACCCCCAGCACCATGAACAGGGGCTCTCGCAGAGGGAGGGGAGGGATGGGAGAGAGAGGGGAGTGAGATGAAGGATGACTGCTATGCTTAGCTATCCCTCCGCCGCATGACATGTATTCCACACCACACCCAGCACCATGAACATGGGCTCTCGCAGAGGGAGGGGAGGGATGGGAGAGTGAGGGGAGTGAGATAAAGGATGACTGCTTTGCTTAGCTATCCCTCCGCCGCATGACACCCACACCACCCCCAGCACCATGAACATGGGCTCTCGCAGAGGGAGGGGAGGGATGGGAGAGAGGGGGGAGGGATGGGAAGGATAACTGCTGCGATTTACGATCACTCCGCCGCATGACACCCACCCCACCACCAGCACCATGAACAGGAGCTCTGGTTGAGGTAGGGGAGCGATGCACGAGTGAGAGGGGAGAGAGGGGGGATAAAATAGTCAGAGCGAAAGACGGGAGAGTAGGCAGAGTGAGAGGGCACCGTACGCCCAGCGCGAGGGTTCATGTTCTCCTCGTACGAGGAGTCTCAACTTCCACTGCAGCCACCCCCCTGCACGCTATGCCGCATGCCACACGCGTGAGCACCTTTTACAGTGTCTCTGGACGAGGAGGGAGAGGGACGGGATAGAGAGGGGAGGGAGGAGCGGCGGACAGAAAGGGGGCCGCGTGGGATTGACGGATACGGCTTCCTCTATTCCCTCCGCCGCATGACACCCACACCACCCCCAGCACCATGAACAGGGGCTCTCGAAGAGGGAGGGGAGGGATGGGAGAGAGAGGGGAGTGAGATAAAGGATGACTGCTATGCTTAGCTATCCCTCCGCCGCATGACATGTATTCCACACCACATCCAGCACCATGAACATGGGCTCTCGCAGAGGGAGGGGAGGGATGGGAGAGAGAGGGGAGTGAGATAAAGGATGACTGCTATGCTTAGCTATCCCTCCGCCGCATGACACCCACACCACCCCCAGCACCATGAACATGGGCTCTCGCAGAGGGAGGGGAGGGATGGGAGAGAGGGGGGAGGGATGGGAAGGATAACTGCTGTGATTTACGATCACTCCGCCGCATGACACCACCCCACCACCAGCACCATGAACAGGAGCTATGGTTGAAGTAGGGGAGCGATGCACGAGTGAGAGGGGAGAGAGGGGGGATAAAATAGTCAGAGCGAAAGACGGGAGAGTAGGCAGAGTGAGAGGGCACCGTACGCCCAGCGCGAGGGTTCATGTTCTCCTCGTACGAGGAGTCTCAACTTCCACTGCAGCCACCCCCCTGCACGCTACGCCGCATGCCACACGCGTGACCAGCAGCACCTTTTACAGTGGCTCTGGACGAGGAGGGAGAGGGACGGGATAGAGAGGGGAGGGAGGAGCGGCAGACAGAAAGGGGGCCGCGTGGGATTGACGGATACGGCTTCCTCTATTCCCTTCGCCGCATGACACCCACACCACCCCCAGCACCATGAACAGGGGCTCTCGAAGAGGGAGGGGAGGGATGGGAGAGAGAGGGGAGTGAGATGAAGGATGACTGCTATGCTTAGCTATCCCTCCGCCGCACGACATGTATTCCACACCACACCCAGCACCATGAACATGGGCTCTCGCAGAGGAAAGGGAGGGATGGGAAAGTGTGGGGAGTGAGATAAAGGATGACTGCTATGCTTAGCTATCCCTCCACCGCATGACACCCACACCACCCCCAGCACCATGAACATGGGCTCTCGCAGAGGGAGGGGAGGGATGGGAGAGAGGGGGGAGGGATGCGAAGGATAACTGCTGCGATTTACGATCACCCACACCACCCCCCTGCACGCTACGCCGCATGTCACACGCGTGACCAGCAGCACCTTTTACAGTGGCTCTGGACGAGGAGGGAGAGGGACGGGATAGAGAGGGGAGGGAGGAGCGGCGGACAGAAAGGGGGCCGCATGGGGTTGACGGATACGGCTTCCTCTATTCCCTCCGCCGCATGACACCCACACCACCACCAGCACCAGGAACAGGGGCTCTCGCAGAGGGAGGGGAGGGACGGGAGAGAGAGGGAAGTGAGATGAAGGATAACTGCTATTCTTAGCTATCCCTCCGCCGCATGACACTCACACCACCACCAGCACCAGGAACAGGGGCTCTGGATGAGCTAGGCGAGGGATGGGAGAGAGGGGGGAGGGTTTAGGAAGGATAACTGCTACAATGAGCTATCCTTGCGCCGCGTGCCACCCACACCAGCACCAGCACCATGAACAGGGGCTCTGGTTTAGGGTGGGAAGGGATGGGAGAGAGAGGCCAATGGAGGATGGATAACTGCTATGGTGAGCTCTGGGTCGGGGGCAGAATGTGAGAGCATCGTACGCCCAGCACCACGTCCCTGAAGCGAGGCGTACTGGGAATGCCTATCCCACTGCAGACATGCCGCTATCATTGCGCATAATGCCACAAACACGCTTACCAGCAGCAAGAGGGGTTGAGAGAGAGAGCTGCAGCTATCACTGAACCCCATGCCACACATTGTTAAACACTAAAACAATCTCACCTTCAGCAGCTTGGGTGTGGGCATCCCACGCGTTCGACGGACCGGTACGTCTACCGTCGCTGGGCTTTCTGGCGCCACGTCTGGATCGAGGCCCCCTATAGATGGGCCGCTCGACAGAGACGCTAGAGGAGGAGGCCTAGATGGAGGGGTGCAGGGCTTGACAGGTCCTTTTGATCCTGGCCTTGCCTTGAGTGCAGCGATTTCGCGATCCCGCTGGGCAAGCTCTCGCATGAGCTGCTCCACAGTCCTGCCGCCAGCCACATCCGGCCGACTGGATGCGCCAGGTGTGCCCATGCTCTCTCCCCTCCCCTCCTTAGTCGCCGGATCCATTTTCTCGTCCCCCCCTTCTCCCCTGCTCTCCCGTACATCTCACATGGAGCCTTTCACACTGCCGCCACATTCACCCAAGGCATTCGCCCACACACCTCCTCCCACGCTGTCATTCGCTGCTGCAGCTGCCGAGGGTTCGTGCCGCTTCGTTGCCCCCTCGTTCTTCACATGAACCGCGCGACCCCCCATATGGTTGGGGGGCGGGTCCGTCGCTTCTTTGCCAAACCGCGCTGACCCCCAAGCCATCGGATCTCCCTTCCCAGCCGAACCCATCGGATCGCGTAACGCAGCGTACGGGTCCGCGGCTTGCCGTTCATGAGAGCTTGATGGACATCGTATCCCCATGGATTCGTAAAAATTCAACTCCCGCTTCGCCTTGCTACGCACACCCACTATTTTAGCTTCGAATCGAGGTCTCTGGCGCTTGCCATGTGGTTTGGCACGACGCACACTCTGTTTACAGATCTTCACCCGTTCCCTCTCCGATTTTTGCTTAGCGTTGCCCTTCTTGAGCTTCCGCACACTCCTCCTCTTCAAAGGCCGAGCCTCCTCCCCATCCTCGCTCTCCGGCTCCAACTCCTCATCATCCTCGTCCTCCTCCTCCTCAACCTCGTCCTCGTATACCTCCTCACTCCCGGATGAGCTGCCCGACTCACTGTCGCTCGAATCCTCCTCAGAACCAGATGAGCTCGAAACGTGCACATTGGGGCCGTGCCGAGCTTGTCTCGCCTTATGGTCGCAACTGCCCGGATCCACAGCCTTGCGCCGTTGGTAGGGAATCACAGCTTCACGTCCACCTTTCCCATCAGTCACAGCTGCTGGCTCGTCCTCATCATGATCGTTAACGCCACGGCATGATCCTTCTCGTCGCCACCATCTGCATCCTGCGACTGCCTGCCCGAGAGACCGCCCTTAGCCGCGGCAGCCCTGCCGCCGTTGCGCATGCCGCCACCACGAGCTTCCGGCTCGGCATGATCCTTATCGTCGCCACCATCCGCATCCTGTGAGCCCGAGGGACCGGCCTTGGCCGCGACAGCCCTACCGCCGTTGCGCATGCCGCCACCACGAGCTGTCGGCTTGGCATGATCCCCCTCGTCGCCACCATCTGCATCCTCCGACTGCCTGCCCGTGGGACCGCCCTTAGCCGTGGCAGCCTTGCCGCCGTTGCGTATGCCGCCACCACGAGCTTCCGGCTCGGCAGGATCCTTCTCGTCGCCACCATCCGCATCCTGCGAGCCCGAGGGACCGCCCTTGGTCGCGGCAGCCCTGCCGCCGGTGCGCTTTCCTCCACCACGAGCTTCCGGCTCGGCATGATCCCCCTCGTCGCCTCCATCCGCATCCTGCGACTGCCTGCCCGAGGGACCGCCCTTGGCCGCGGCAGCCCTGCCGCCGTTGCGCTTTCCGCCACCACGAGCGCGTTGGCCTGCCGTCCCATCTGCGAAGGCGGACATGACAGGTACATAAGAAATACTGTGCACACATTATCTTATTGGCAGGATGTTGCAGCATGACATGCGGCATCATTGTTATGAGTAACGTGCAAAATATAAACCGTCGATATCACACCCACAGCGTACCTAAGCTGTCAGGTCCCCCGTCTTTGCCCTCCTCGTCGCCTTCAGACGCAGGCGTTTCCTCACGATGTGAACGAGTGCCTCTTTTTCTTGGACGGTGCTTACAGCCCCCCCAATTGTCACGCTTGTCCGCTATCGCTGATGTGGAAACACAATTGGAGAGAGGATAACCTCCAACAGGTCAGACACGACTACAAGCATCAATTCATGCATACAAGTAGAATATTCCGCATCTGCGACCATAAACACACACCTTTCTGGCCGCCTTTGGGAACCAGATCATCTAAGCGCTTCACGCGCTTATCCCTTGGTTTCGAAGGGGATGATATGCCCTTGTTTGCGTATGGCTCAACATCGCAGTCGCTATTCGATTCGTCACCGGATGACGAGACACGTCTGGAATCAACAACATCTCGCGCCGTCGACGCAGTATTTTTGCGATACTCGATTACGAGCTCGGCCGTCTGATCTGCTGTTACTAACTCCGCAAAATTTGTTCAGTCGGGGGTTTTAGTCGATTCAGCCAGTACGATCGCCCCCTCGGGCCCCTTCATTGTCTGACTTCCTTGTTACCATGTCTAGCTTTCCATTCACGCAGTACTATGAGGTTGCGGGTTGTGCTACCGCCTAGAACCTGACAGCAGTCTACGAGCATAAAAAATTGGTTGAGGAGGGAGAGGGACGAGGCAAAGTCTGGGGCCTAGAGCAGACGATCGTCACAGCTGGAGGCATGCAAGGGGAGCACGGAGGTGATGAGGGTTTGAGTGTTTCCTGCTATGGTGCACGTTGCGACTGCCAGGTCCCCCTTTTCCGCCCTCAACCAATCGCCTGGTGGTTGAGGTGTATAAAGGAAAAAAATGCAGCACTGCCGTGTTAAGATTCCGTGGGACCTAACGTGCTTAATTGAGTATCAGTCCACAAGCGGCAGGGTGGGCTTCTTTTTGTTAAACCCGACAGTCAAATGCGCTACTGTATCTGGGTTTGCGAGGGTCATAATTATTCTGCCCGGGTTGTCGTACTGTTTACAATGAAGTGCCTTGCGTGCCACACAAACCTACTCAAGCTGCACGTCAAGAGTCACATAGGTGTCAAACATTATATATGTTCTGCTTGTGTAGGCTACAGTGGGTTGGCCTATAGGGGGTACACAATTCTAGGGTTTCCTACTTGTACTCATTTCACTGCTAGTTCATTCATTCCTGTTCGCTTATTCTCACATGGTATCGAGCAGGTTCCCCGGTGGGAACTGTTCGTAGGGCCCACCACGGCTACCTCTTAACCTTTTTTTTTCCTGCCCGGAGCGCGCTCCGGGCCCTAGTACTTTTTTTTTTTTTCTTTCGATCTGCCCTAGTGCTCTGAAGGCCGCCCGCCCTAGCGCCCGAGCGCCGCCGCCCTTGCGCCCTGACGACCGCCCGCCCTAGTGCCCTGACGGCCCCCCGCTCTAGCGCCCGAACGCCGCCCGCCCTAGCGCCCTGACGGCCGCCCGCCCTAGCGCCCGAGCGCCGCCCGCCCTAGCGCCCGAGCGCCGCCCGCCCTAGCGCCCTGACGGCCGCCCGCCCTAGCGCCCGTGCGCCGCTCGCCCTAGCGCCCTGACGGCCGCCCGCCCTAGCGCCCTGTCGGCCGCCCGCCCTAGCACCCGAGCGCCGCCCGCCCTAGCGCCCGAGCGCAGCCCGCCCTAGCGCCCTGACGGCCGCCCGCCCTAGCGCCCGTGCGCCGCTCGCCCTAGCGCCCGAGCGCCGCCCGCCCTTGCGCCCTGACGGCCGCCCGCCCTGACGCCTGAGCCCCGCCCGCCCTAGCGCCCTGACGGCCGCCCGCCCTGACGCCTGAGCGCCGCCCGCTCTAGCGCTCTGACGACCGCCCGCCCTGACGCCTGAGCGCCGCCCGTCGTCGCCCCAGCGCCCTAGCGCCCGACGCCCGCGAGCCGCCCGTCGCAGCCGCCCGTGAGCTGCCTGTACGCCGCCCGCCGAGCCGCCCGTGCACCCGCCCAGCGTGAGCCGCCCACGACCGCCCAGGCTGCCGTCCCCTTCTACCGGCCCCGCAACTGCACCTGCTAGCCCCGCCGCTGCACCTACCGGCCCCCACCACCCACCCCCCCTTTTCCCGTCGCTTGTCGAGGCGACCTGAGGGGGCCGCTTGCTGAGAGGCCAGCAGAGGGGTGGCAGGTGTGTGGCCTCCCCTGCTTCTCCTCCTCCTTCATCGCTCACCTGCAGCAGCCGAGCCGCCCCACTGCCGAGCCGCCCTGCACCCGAGCCGCCCAGCAGCCGAACCGCCCTGCCGCCGAGCCACCGGGTCGCTGAGCTGCTGAGCTGCAGTTGCTGCCGAGCCGCCCTGCCGCCGAGCCGCCGAGTCACCGAGCTGCTGAGCTGCAGTTGCTGCCGAGCCGCCTTGCCGCCGAGCCGCCCGAGTCGCCCGAGCCGCCGAGCCGCCGAGCTGCCGAGCCGCTGAGTCGCCGAGCCTACTCTTCCCACCACTGGTGAGCTCTTGCCCTGCTAGCACGCTGCGCGTCGCCTGCTTGCCTGCCTGCCTGCCTTTTGGCTTGCCTGGCTGCCTGCCTTCCTGCTGCTAGTCCTGCTCCTGCTTCTACTTGCGGAGCCAGATGCAGCCCCAGCGACGCCTGCGTGAGTCCCTCACGCCCCAGCAGCTGCGTGAGTGGTACGGTGGTTGGGGCTGTAGGGGTGGCGACGCTACTCCTACTTCCACTCCTGCTGCTTCTACTCGTGGTGGCGGCCAGATGCAGCTCCCGCGACCCTCTCGCGTGTCTCTCACGCCTCGCCAGCTTCGTGAGTGGTACGCTCAGAGTGGAGGGTCTCTCAGTGCTGTTCGCTGCTCTTACGTGATTCGCACTGGTACTCGGACTGGTCAGCCTTGTGGGACACGTAGTCATACACAGTCCCGCTGCTTCGCCCGTCTGAGCGACGCCTGGCGTACCGTGTTTGGCGACGAGGCTGACCTTCCCGACTGGGTGGAGTTGCTTAGGCAGAGGGTAGATATATATGCTCTTGACTATGATGCTATTCTCACTGCCATGTATGCATTGCCTACTAGTGCTGACCATGCCGGTCACCTGTGCGTCCCGCCTGACCCAGGTATAGGACCTGCTGCTCTAGCTACTGGTGAGGCTGCTGCTCTGGGTGCTAGTGAGTCTCCTGCTCCAGGTACAGGTGCGGCTGCTGCTCTAGGTGCTAGTGAGTCTGCTTCCTCAGGTGCGGGTGAGGCTGCGCTCTCAGGTACCGCGTTGGCTTCGGCCTCCCTCACCTTTACACTTGACTCTGGGGCTTCTCGCTCCTTCTTTCGGGACCGCACCACACTCACGCCGCTTGGTCGGCCGGTTGCTGTCTCCCTGGCTGACCCCTCTGGGGGTCCTGTCCTCGCTCACTTCTCCACTGTCCTCCCGTGTCCGGCTGCCCCCTCGGGCACCCTGTCTGGCCTGTACCTCCCCTCGTTCTCGACGAACTTCGTGAGTGGTGCAGACCTACAGGATGCGGGGGTTCACCAGTTCACTCCTGCGAGTCAGCGGGTGACCCACTGCACGGACGCACGCACAGGCCGGCACCTGGCCACGTTCTCGCGTCGGCCGGGGTCGAGCCTCTACACCCTGACCACTGAGTCTCCTCCTGTCCCCGCGTCCGGTCAGGTAGCAGCGTCGGGTCAAGTGTTTGCTGCTGCGTCCAGGTCTGGTCCTGAGTCTGCCCCCTGTTCGTGTCGCCTCCTGTCTCACGAGACTCTTCTGTGGCACCACCGTCTAGGCCACCCCTCCTTGCCCCGTCTTCGGGGCATGGCTTCCCGTGTCCTTGTCTCTGGTCTTCCCCAGTCTCTCCCTCCCCTTCCTTCGGGACCAGGACCTTCCTGTGTCCCCTGTGTCGAGGGGCGCCTCAGGGCTGCTCCTCACTCCTCCCAGTTTCCCCCGACAGAGGCTCCTCTGCAGACGCTTCACATGGACGTGTGGGGCCCGGCCCCCGTCCGTGGGCAGGGTCACGAGCGCTACTTCCTGTTGGTGGTTGACGACTACTCGCGTTACACCTCAGTCTTCCCCTTGCGCAGCAAGGGTGCTGTCACTGAGGTGCTGATCGACTGGATCCGCGAGGCTCGTCTCCAGCTCAGGAGGAGCTTCGGCTCGGACTTTCCTGTTCTGCGTCTGCACTCTGACCGAGGTGGGGAGTTCTCCTCTCGCCTTCTGCGAGACTACTGTCGTGCACAGGGGATCCGCCAGACCTTTACGCTTCCGGACTCTCCACAGCAAAATGGGATTGCTGAGCGCCGCATTGGCATGGTCATGGATGTCGCTCGTACGTCCATGATGCATGCGGCTGCCCCCCATTTTCTGTGGCCGTTTGCGGTGAGGTACGCGGCGCATCAGCTCAACCTTCACCCCAGGGTCTCTCGGCCCGCGATGTCCCCAGTGTTACTGTGGACGAGGAAGGTCGGCGATGCGTCTGCGTTCCGTGTCTGGGGATCTCGGGCGTTTGTCCGCGACTTGTCTGCGGACAAGCTGTCCCCCCGTGCTGCTCCCTGTGTCTTCCTTGGCTTCCCCCTTGACGCTCCAGGGTGGCAGTTCTACCACCCCTCCTCTCGTCGTGTTCTGTCCTCCCAGGACGTCACGTTCGACGAGTCAGTCCCCTTCTACCGCCTCTTCCCCTACCGTACTCCTTCCCTCCCCCCCCCACCGGACTTCCTGGTGCCAGTTCCCCCCCCGGTAGACCCCCTCCCCCATCAGGTTCCTGCCCCTTCAGGTGTGTCCCAGGTAGACACGGTCGAGCCAGTCGAGGTTGCTGCTGAGTCTGGTCCTGCTGCGGGTGCAGAGTCTGGGGGTGCTACGCCTGCGGGTGCTGAGCTTGGGGGTGCTGCTGCTGGGGGTGCTGAGCCTGGGGGTGCGAGGC